AATTGAATCTGATTGGCTAAGATAGAATAGTGATGAGGGGATTTTCCACTTACTATTTTGGAAATGCCAAGAATTGTTTGTTACTAGTCCGTCGGGCATATTCGGTTACAAGTTTTAATTGCCCGAAGTGTAAAAGTCTAGTCCCGGGCGTCGGGCTAGTGGATTTTTTAACCCCTGCAAAGTTTACGGGAACCTGTGTGATTTTACGTAATGGCGGACAAATTTGCATACAAGTGTAAATACGTCTATTTTTGCACAGAGTTAAGTTTGATTATAATATTTTTAAAATTCATTGTATATCACATGTTTTGGAAACAATTACAGAACGAGATAGAAACGAGATAGAAACGTCAGAAGACTACATCCTTAACCGGTATCTCGTAGTAGAGGGTCTGGATAGGGTTTACAAAATAATTAATAAAGGCCCGGATATGTACAAAGCACAGAAGAAAGGGCAAGACATGTATATTATAAAGAACAGAGAAAAATATGCCTAAAAAAAGTTAAGAATAATCGGCAAAGAAAAATAAGTAACAGAGATAAATTGCCGAAAAAATAATACAGACATGACGGACCTCCTCCCGCCATCTCCCCGCATTCAAATCCTCGGCGATTTAGTTTGTATGTGAGTAAAAGTAATAATGACTAAATAAACGTACATTGTACCCGAAGATTTAATATGAATAATTTCCGTATTCAACGATCCTGCCGCTATTATTTACCGGTTCATTTAAGTCCAAGTGTTGATATTAAATGTAAGATATGAAATTATAGTTAATTTCGTTCAAACAAATTGGACACACGTTTTAAGGGGCCCCCTTTGAACAATATTTTAGACATCCAATTTAATCGAACGCTGAGTCAGCCCCTGTTTTTGTGAAATATGAAAAAGCACACATAAGAATGATCCATTTGTATCTTCCCAGCATGAAATCGTACATTTCAGTATATAGCGCATATTAGATATATTATCTTATCTTATCTTATCTTACATAGGAGTGCGCCGAAATAAAACGGCGATTCAAACAGGTGACGTCTGTAGAAAGAAAGATAATCATGATAAAGTTAGTTTCGTTCCCTCGACTTATATTCTTCTTGCAGATAAAAAGTAAGTTTACTCAAATTCAAATATTTTAATGGATAAAGTGTAACAGTGGTTTGATTCCGCCAGTGTACTTTATCCGGAGGAAGAAAATCCCCAGTGATTTTTATCAACCAACAAAAAATCACGGGTTTTCTATCCGGGACCAGTGTAAAACATCCACCAGTCATTATAAGGTTCTAAAAAGGTTTTTTTCAGGGGAAATATATATAAAATGTGGCTTAATACTATAGTTTTTAGTGTATTTGAAAATTGCATAGTTGATTTATGTAAAAAGTGGAGAGTTTTCATTCAAGGAATGTTCACACTAGTGTTTGGGAACCAGGAATGATTACACTAGTGATTTTGTACCGGAATGATTGCACTAACGTTAGTTATGTTATACCCGGCGGGATTAATTACACTAGTGCTTTAGATCCATTCATTGATGAAGTGATTAGTACTCATTTTGAACACACGATAACACAATAATGCTTATTAACGAATGAGATTTAAATAATTTTTCTATGCAAATCTATAAAATCATATGCTTTTAAAGTAATATTTATATTTATTGGATTGCCGAAGTTTTTCTATGTATTTGCTTTTCGGTCGACTTGGATATTAAATCATATCTTCTATGTCAATATCAAAGGATGCTTCTGTAATTGAAACTTTATGTAAGAACAAATCTGCTCTTTAAATTTGGTTTGTATCAAGTTCAATGTCCTGATCATTGATAAAGCATTTTGAGTTATAAAAATACCCTCATCATCATCAATATTATTTACTAGATTGACTCAGATTAATCAAACTGGTTCCTTGAAAATCATTTTAATTTTAACCCATTTATTTATGTAAACAATAAACCGGTCTAATATAAACAAAACAACGATATCAAGATCGACGCTTTCACACTATTTACATCCAATATTCTCTAGTGAAAAACAGTTACCCGGAATAAATACACGGCGGAATGAAAGGACGCTTACAAAAGCACATGCATATGATCAATAAAACATTGCGTAATCTGTCTAAGTGTACAACATACATGACATATACAACATAATAAAGAATGTAAATAAAACAATGCCTAAAAAGAGAAAATTAATGACAATGAATGATATGCTAGATATATCAAGTTAAACTAAAATTATTAAAAAAAAAAATTGTGTACAGTATAGTACTTCCATATCTTATGGTAGACCAACTATTAGTAACTATCCCTCGATTTTCTGGATAACTGGATACCATATAGAGAACACATGTAGGTGCTTGTCTCAGAAAAAAATATTCCTATATACCTTTATCTAACACAAGTGACAAGGTACTTAACTCGCATTTTTGAAAAATTTCACCTGATCGCGAAATTCCGTTATATTTCGATTTCTCGGTTGTCAACCCCAATAAAACTTGTATGCCGTTAATTTAAATTGATTTATCTACACACTGGTGTATAACACGCCTACCTTTGTTGTCGGAATCATTCGTAGCAGGCCTACCCAAGTATGGCAACCGTAATTATTTCGTCTACCAACACCTGATTGGAAATACAAGACTCGCAGTAAATGATTAATTATAAAAAGTATTTTAAAAAACCTGTTAGTTTTCATCTGAATAGAACTTTTCATCTAGATAGTAAATTTGTAAACGATTCTGTGAAAAAAAAAATCAAACAAGTGTTCTAATGAGTTACAAGTTTCTATTTTTAGACTTCCTCTGGACTTCAGATATGAAATGATATCAGATCAGATAACTCCGAGAAACATTTATTTTTAGCAATAGACCTTCCCATAAAGTTTGACCAATCGGAAACCTCGATATATAAAGAGAGTGGAAAGATACCTTTTACTGTGAGTTTTATATTTCCAATCGAGTGTTGGTAGACGAAATAATTACGGTTGACATACTTGGGTAGGCCTGCTACGAATGATTATGACAACAAAGTTAGGCGTGTTATACACCATTGTGTAGATAAATCAATTTAGATATAAATGGCATAACACGTTTTAGTGGGGTTGACCACCGAGAAATCGAAATATAACGGAGCTTCGCGACCGGGTGACATTTTTAAAAAATGCGAGTTAAATACCTTGTGTTATATAAAGGTATATGGGATTTTTGCCTGTGCATAAGAAAAAATGAAGAATACTAAAGTCTTTTCTTGCATTTAAAAAATATTTTGTTGTACACTGTAATACATATTTTATACTTAAACATGTTTAATATTCATGAAAAAAAGATTAACTCAGTTGAGGGAACAGTTTCCAATTTAGTGGGTTGTCCCCAACCTGTTTTAATCACGTCTTTGGAACACTTCCTATTTAATATTATCAGTCAGGGGACTTACTGAAATGAATGATTTCTAAATCACTGATTCAAGTATCATTTTGTCCACAAATTTTGGAAGAAAGAGTTGTCTTTCTTTAATAATCACTTATTAAAGTAGTACAAATAAATCACTAGACTAAGTGATAATATTTTATTGTAGCTTAAAATATACAATACTAATGATCCAGGGACTAATTATGTTCCCACAGTCCAGTGACTGTCAATGAATGAGCAATTCTAATGTCAAGTTTTCTGCTTAATTTATTTTGATAGGAACTACTTATGTTTATTATTATAGATAGATCAATGATATTTTATACATTTGTACAGTTGCATTAGTCTTTCCTATCAAAACAAATCAATTTGACAAATATTTCGAGACCCTGTCCTCTGGGTCAAGGTCTAGTGAATTTCATTTTTTAATGTAAAGTTTTCTGTTTAAGTTAGTTTAAGAACTAGTCTATAATGTATGTGTACTAATGATAGACAATGATTAATATCAGTACATCTCAATTTGTCGATTAATTTGAGGTCCCTAGTTCATGGTTTAGTATCTTCGAATTAATTAGCAATGTTGCTATTAATCAGATTGGCTTTTTCTGAATTTTCTGCAGACACTGGCGAGACATTCTCTGTGTCAATATATATATATATATATATATATATATAGTTTATTAATCCTGTACACATGTAATATTGCCATTTAGTAACATATTTTTCCTAAAGAAGATAGGAGTATACAACAATAAGGCAGTTATACTACTTGTATATGCAATATATAGTATTAAAGTACAATTATCCAAAAAATAAAAATGAGAATAGTATGGGGAATGTGTAAAAGAGTCAACAACCCGACCAAATGGCAGAAAACAGACGAAGGCCACCAATGGGTCTTCAACACAGCAAGAAAAATCCTGCACCTGGAGGCGGGCTTCAGCTGGACCCTACCCAACATGCAGACACATAAATGTAAAGTATGTTACACCAAAACAACATAGACAGTTTATATGTAATTCACAGAGAGGTATCGAAAGGTTTTAGTCTTTAGTCTTAAATTTGTTTACCTTTTCCTTACAGAGTTGAACAAGAACACAATTACTGGAGTTGAACCTTATTTCTAAGATGAATGTGTTGAGGATTTAGTGATAAATGGTACTGTACAGAGACACATTAAACACAGGCTGGTGATAAACTTCATAATCGTGATGATTTTTTCAGAGAATTTAGTCGAGATGGTGCCTTAGAGAGACATTTGAGAATACATACTGATGAAAAAATAGGAAATGTGATGTTTGAGCTATATAATTTAGTCAAGATAGTCAATTAAAGGGACACACGAGAAAAATTACTGGTCACAAATGTCATTTAAGATGTTTAAATTAAAATTTTGTGATAGATAATGTCCTAGTGACAGTTATCTGAAGAGACACATGAGAACACATACTGGTGTAATATATATATGGTTGAAGGTTTTGTTATTTAGCCAGTAATTAACTAAAAAAGCATGAGAACGCATACAAGTGATAAACCTCATGAATGTGGTATATGTGGTAAAGGCTTGAGTCAGCCTTGTAGTTTAAAGACTCACATGAAAACGCATAATGGCGATAAAGCAAATAACTGTGGTGTATGTGGTAAAGGGTTTAGTCAGCTGGGTACTTTAAAGATTCACATGAGAATACATACAGGTGACAAACCATATAAATGTGATGTATGTGGTAAAAGATTTAGTTACCTTGGACATTTACAAAGACACACAAAAACACATAATGGCGATAAACCTCATGAATGTGATGTATGTGGTAAAGGCTTTAGTCAGTCGGGTAGTTTAAAGATTCACATGAGAATACACACAGGTGATAAACCTCATCATTGTGATGTGTGTGGTAAAAGCTTTAGTCAGTTTGATAATTTACAGTTTCATATGAGAATACACTCGGGTGATAAACCTCATGACTGTGATGTATGTGGTAAAGGATTTAGTAATCTTAGTAATTTACAGAGTCACATGAGAACACATTCAGGTGATAAACCTCATGACTGTGGTGTATGTGGTAAAGGCTTTACTCAGCCATGTAATTTAAAGAGACACATGAGAACACATTCAGGTGATAAACCTCATGAATGTGATGTATGTGGTAACGGCTTTAGTCGGCTTGGTAATTTACAGAGTCACATGAGAATACATACAGGTGATAAACCTTATGACTGTGAAGAATGTGGTAAAGGGTTCAGTCATCCTGGTAATTTAAAGAGACATATGAGAATACATTCAGGTGATAAACCAAAAAAATGTGATGTATGTGGTAAAGGGTTTAGTCGTTTGAGTAGTTTACATAGACACACGAGAACACATACAGGTGATAAACCTCATGACTGTCGTGTATGTGGTAAAGGGTTTAGTCATCTTAGTAATTTACAGAGACACATGAGAATACATACAGGTGATAAACCTTATGGCTGTGATTTATGTGTTAAAGGGTTTAGTCAGCTTGGAAATTTACAGAGACACATGAGAACACATACAGGCGATATACCTCATAACTGTGATTTATGTGGTAAAGGATTTAGTAATCTTAGTAATTTACAGAGTCACATGAGAACACATTCAGGTGATAAACCTCATGACTGTGATTTATGTGGGAAAGGGTTTAGTCGTTTTAGTAGTTTACATAGACACATGAGAACACATACAGGTGATAAACCTCATGACTGTGGTGTATGTGGTAAAGGGTTTAGTCATCTTAGTAATTTACAGAGACACATGAGAATACATACAGGTGATAAACCTTATGGCTGTGATGTATGTGTTAAAGGGTTTAGTCAGCTTGGAAATTTACAGAGACACATGAGAACACATACAGGCGATATACCTCATAACTGTGATTTATGTGGTAAAAGGTTTAGTCGTCTTGGTAGTTTACAGAGACACATGAGAACACATACAGGTGATAAACCTCATGACTGTGGTGTATGTGGTAAAAAGTTTAGTCATCTTCATTATTTACAGACAAATGACAGATACACATGAGAATACATACATGTGATAAACATCATGACTGTGATGTATGTGGTAAAAAGTTTAGTCATCTTCATAATTTACAGAGACATAAGAGAACACACACAGGTGATGAACCTCATGACTGTGACGTATGTGGTAAAAAATTTAGTCGTCTTGGTAATTTACAGATACACATGAGAACACACACAGGTGATAAACCTCATGAATGTGGTGTATGTGGTAAAGGCTTTAGTCAGTCGGGTGGTTTAAAGATTCACATGAGAATACATACAGGGGATAAACCTCATGATTGTGATGTGTTTGGTAAAAGCTTTAGTCAGTTTGATAATTAACAGTTTCATATGAGAATACACTCAGGTGATAAACCTCATGACTATGATGTATGTGGTAAAGGATTTAGTAATCTTAGTAATTTACAGAGTCACACGAGAACACATTCAGGTGATAAACCTCATGACTGTGACGTATGTGGTAAAAATTTTAGTCGTCTTGGTAATTTACAGATACATATGAGAACACATACAGGTGATAAACCTCATGAATGTGGTGTATGTGGTAAAGGATTTAGTCGCCTTGGTCAGTTACAGAGACACACAAAAACACATAATGGCGATTAACCTCATGAATGTGATGTATGCATTAAAAGGTTTAGTGAGCTTGGTATTTTACAGGTTCACATGAGAACACATACAAGTGATAAACCTCATATCGGCGATGTAAGTGGTTAAGGGTTTAGCCAACTTGGTAATTTACAGATTAACACGAGAAAATATACAGGTGGTAAAATCTCATGACTGCGACGTATGTGGTAAATAATTGATGCATCTTATTAATATACAGATACATATGAAAATACATAGAGGCGACACACCTTATGTTTGTAATCATGATGTATGCGGTGAAGGAGTTGATCATCTTAGTAGTTTACAGAGACACATGAGAACTCATACAGGCGATAAATCTCATTACTGTGATGTTGGTGGAAAAGGTTTGAGTCATCTTAGAAATTTACAGAGACACATGAGAACACATACAGGCGATAAACCTCATGTGTGTGGTATTAGGCTTAGTCGGCTTTGTAATTTACAGAAACACATTAAAAGACCTACAGCCTGTAAAACCCCATGAATGTAATGCATGTGTTATAGAATTTGTTGGAGTTGGTGACTTAAAAAGACACTTTAGAATACAAACTGGGGTAAAACTCGTAAAAAGGATTTTTGTTTTGAAGTATTTATTGGAATTAATCCATTAAAGATTGTGTATAGGAAAGAACATTAGCACATATACCGGTATACTTTGGATAAACCTTGTAATTGTGATGTATGTGGTGGGGTGTTTAGTGTGTGTGGTAATTTATATATAGATACAAATGAGAACACATACTAATAGAAAACCTTATATATGTGATGTATGTGGTAGAGGGTTTAGTGAGAGTGATACTTAAGATAGACACATGAAAACACATACTAATAGAAAACCTTATATATGTGATGTATGTGGTAGAGGGTTTAGTGAGAGTGATACTTAAGATAGACACATGAAAACACATACTAATAGAAAACCTTATATATGTGATGTATGTGGTAGAGGGTTTAGTGAGAGTGATACTTAAGATAGACACATGAAAACACATACTGGAGAAAACCTTATAAATGTGATGTATGAGGTAGAGGGTTTAGTGAGAGTGATACTTAAGATAGACACATGAAAACACATACTAATAGAAAACCTTATATATGTGATGTATGTGGTAGAGGGTTTAGTGAGAGTGATACTTAAGATAGACACATGAAAACACATACTGGAGAAAACCTTATAAATGTGATGTATGAGGTAGAGGGTTTAGTGAGAGTGGAACTTAAGATAGACACATGAGAACACATACTGGAGAAACCCTTATAAATATGATGTATGAGATAGAGGGTTTAGTTAGAGTGGTACTTAAGATAGACACATGAGAACACATGTAGTACAGGAGGAAAACCTTGTGAATGTGATGTATGTGGTGGAGTGTTTAGTGAGAGTTGTTATTTTAGATAGACACATGAGAACACACACTGGTGGAAAACCTTTTAAATGTGATGTATGAGATGGAGGGTTTTGTTAGAGTCGTAATTTACAAAAACACACATATTAGTTATAAATGTCACTAACCTAATACGTTTGTGCTAAATAATTTATTATTCATTAATATTAATAAGGTGATATCTGGTAAAGGGTTTAGTCGCTTGGTAACTTACAGAGACTTATAGGAACATATGCTCGAGATAAACCTCATATACATTGATATATATATATATAAATACCGGTATGACATTTGATAAAGGGTTTATTTGGCTTTATAGTTTACACAGGCATATGAGAACACATGCAAGAGATATGCATCATGCATGTGATACTTGATAAAGGGTTTAGTCGGCTTGGTAATTTACAATGACATAAAGAAACCCGTACATGGGATAAACATCATACTTGTGATATTTGGTAAAACGTTTAATCGACTTGGTAATTTACAATGACACATGGGAACACATGCATGAGATAAACCCAATGTAGGTGATATTTTAAAAAGGGTTTGCTCGGTTTACATTCTGTGTTTGCCTTTCCAAAGATATGAGCCTTTCATTCCATGGTTGTCGTTTGATGCTGTATAGGTTTACACTAATGTCCTAACAATGTCCTGACAATTGTCCTGACCGATATGAAAATGCTGAATATTTTTTTTATTATTGAAAGGATTGACTTTAAATTTTGAATCAAGCAAGATGACAACAGTTTTGAAATAAATACAAGGAAAAAAAATGTTTTTGAGAGTTAGAAAACTTGACCTGACCATTTTTGACTTTTGCTGACTAATGTCCTGACCGATATGAAAGTGCTAAATACTTTTTTACTTTTAAAAGGGTTGACTTTTAATTTGATTGTAGCTGTATGCTAGACATATGGATTACAATCCGGCGGCAGCGTAAACTATATGTACAAAACTTTATATTTCAGAAGTTTGAAGACCTGGATGCTTCATACATTGTATGCATATACACATATACTTTATGTTACCAAGTTTCCGTCTGTCATATGTCAGTTTTCTGTGACCTCTAATTTATGGTTCTGCAAGTGCTTGAACAAACTCTGTAGCTTTTTGTCATATGATTTTCTCACTTATTATGTATAATATGATAACTATATTTTGTATATATATATATATATGCGTGTATGGGTTCCTTGCAACGTCTACATGTCCGTCAGACAGTGTTGACCTGACCTTGACCTTATTTCATGGACCAGTGATCAAGGTTAAATTTGCATGATTAGGTTCGTTTCTCAGATACTATAAACAATAGGTCAACTACATGTGGTGTATTAATGATTGTAAGGGGTACATGTCAGCCTGGCAGTTTTCATCTGACCTTGACCTCATTTTCATGGTTCATTGGTCAATCTTGAGTTTTTGTGTTTTGGTCTGTTTTCAATTACCATAAGCAATTATAGGTCAACTATGATATTGGTGTAGGCAATGATTGTAAGATGTAAATGTCTGTCTGTCAGGATTTATCTGACCTTGACCTGATTGTTATGGATCTTTAGAAATGTTAAGTTCATGTGATGCTTGTACGCCATTGGGTCCCTGGTTGAGAGTTGTCTCATTGGCAATCATACCATATCTTATTTTTTTGTTGGAAATTTACAGAGACAAATTTGGACATTTGGTGGAGGCAAAACCTCACGAATGTGATATTTTGTAAAGGATTTAGTAAAATTGATAATTTACAGAGACATATGACTACATATGTAATATACCTAGTGAATGTCATATCATTGATTAAGAATTCTTTCCAGGCCATGCTGTCATGCATTGTATTTAATTTTTATGCCTCACCTAGGGGCATTATGTTTTTCTTTCTGTGCGTCCGTTTGTCCGTCCGTCCGTCTGTCCCGCTTCAGGTTAAAGTTTTTGGTCAATGTAGATTTTGATGAAGTTGAAGTCCAATCAACTTGAAACTTAGTATAAGTATACATGTTTCCTATGATATGATCTTTCAAATTTTAATGCCAAATTAGAGTTTTGACTCCAATTTCACGGCCCACTGAACATAGAAAATGATAGTGCGAGTGGGGCATCCGTGTACTATGGATACATTTTTGTTTTATTCTATAAGCTCAAATAACTCGCATAAGGCATAAATAACTACATGCAAATAACAATTTAAACAAAAGCACTATCTCATTAACATAAGATCAAATATATTGAACACACAACACAAGAATTAGTCCTAAGTGACCCCAGTTCTGGTTTCTGGTACTACCGAAACGTACGTGAGATATTCTACTTCTTTACACTATAAACTAATAACTATGGCTTAACATATTGAATAGATAGTTGTAGACCTGCCTGAAAGCTGAGAATTGGGTATGTGAATGCGGTTGAAAGTTTTAGAAAATATTTTATATTCTTATAAAAAGCAAAAAAGATACTAAAGGGAGAATGAAACGGCAGTGCAACACTTACAAGTCGTATAACAAAGTCGATAAAACCCCAACCTAAAATTTATTGCGGAATAAGTTGATTAATAGCTATGTTATTCAACCTCATCATTCTAATTAATTTAAAAGTGCAGAAAATGAGAATAAATGTGTCATCTATTCCGTCAGTAATTTTAAGTGAAAGTAAAATCTATGTTTAGAATCCGTGTTAAAACTGAAACTACATGAAACATGTACCACTGAACGTAATGTATAGTCCTTTACAAACCTGAAACCTGTGCTAATTAGCGTAAAGTATAGTCCTTTACAAACCCGAAACATGTGCCACTGAGCGTTAAGTATATAGTCCTTTACAAACATGAAACATGTGCCACTGAACGTAAAGTATAGTCCTGAACAAAAATGAAATATGTACCACTGAGCGTAAAGTATAGTCCTGAACAAACCTGAAACATGTACCTGTGAATGTACAGAATAGTCCTGAACAAACCTGAAACATGTGCAACTGAATGTAAAGAATAGGCCTGAACAAACCTGAAACATGTACCCGTAAATTTAAAGTATAGCTTGAAAAAACATGAACCATTTGCCGCTGAACGTAAAGTATAGTCCTGAACATACATGAAACATTTGCCGCTGAACCTAAAGTATAGTCCTGAACATACATGAAACATTTGCCGCTGAACGTAAAGTTACGTCCTGAACATACATGAAACATGTACCACTGAACGTAAAGTATCGTTCTGAACAAACATGGAACATGTACCACTGAACGTAAAGTATCGTTCTGAACAAACATGGAACATGTGCCACTGAGCGTAAAGTATCGTCCTGAACAAACCTGAAA